CTAGCAAGTAGTGTTTGATTTTGAAGACTTGCAGTGAAACCATTAACCCCAAACATGAAACAGAATAAACTTAGTGTAGAAGACAAATTTGTTCTGTGAGTATTAAAAATGAGTATTGGTCTGGGAATGCTTATATGTGAAACTAGGGGCCTAAATATTTTGTATACCTGTTGGCCAAAACGGATGTATCATTGTAAAAAAAAATCCCAAATTGATGTTATTAATGTAGGCCTGAACTCTTGTTTGAGAAGATTATGTGAGGTTTTGGCAGTCTGCTACTATGATGTGGCAGTGAAGCAGCATTATTGTAATAGTTAAAAGCATTATAATCATTGCTTGGGGTGAGAAGTCAAAGACAAGAAAAGCTCTAGAAGAAGCTTTATTGCAGTGGCCTTTTTTCTCTCAATGTAATTTTAGTAGAGTTAGATCCTTTTCTGACTTTGAGTGAAAATAAAACTAAGTTTTGCTTGTACTTTGGGCATTTTATAAAGTTTGATTAAAAAAAATGTGGCTTGTGTATAAGCCAATGTTCTTGATGTTGCCATAAATCAAATTAATCAACTGAACTCTACCTGTTGTGCTTAGAAGGTTTTTACTGTACTATATTTAATGAACTATTTCAGTACCTTAGAGATGACTGAATTGCAAGTGAGATCTTTATGACCTTTCCTGTTCTTGGTGATTGCTATAGAAAACTTGAGAAAAGGTTCTGATCTTGGAGGTTAGGTTCAAAATAATTTCAGTGAGAGTGCTATCAAGCTGTCTTTGTGTTGGGTCTTATGTAACTGTGTTCCAAATGGGAAGTTAAGCACTGTAAACAGTAATATTCCTTAATGCTGTGGCCTTTGGTTGTACACAAATACAACAGATAGATTTCCTATCTTTTCTGGAAAGTGTTTCTTATTGAAAGGAAGTGCTGGTGACAACTGGGATATCCAGGTCACTGTCAGTTCAAGTATTTCTCAGTATTTTATAGGGCCTTTTTCTAGTTACTGATAGTTAAAAATATACTGTTTGAAACTTTCTAACAACAGGAATTTTTTGAAAATCAAATAAATAGATGCATTATTTATTTACTGTGTCAGACCTTTATTTTAAAAAGGGCTTCCACACATTCAGATCACTGACTCTTATTTTTTTTTTTGGCAAGCAGCAAAGCTGTCGAGATACAGCAATGACACTTTATTCTGTAGAAGTGGGATCTGAAGCACATAAAATATTGACTTTGTGGCCTTGCATTTGATTTAAAAAGATGTACTGTTTTTCTTAACAAAATGATAATGTCTTCTGTCTGCATTTGGCTGAAGGAATTCTTTAATATAGAAATTGTATTCTGTCACAAAGACAGGCAGGAATTGCAGGGGGGACTTCAGAAATTTGAATTTCTAAGAGATGTGAATCAGTTCTCTGGAGAACACTATAATCTCTTCAAGATGAGGGCCAGCTGAAAGACTTGGCATAAACAGTGGCCTCCAGGTGCTCTGGTAACAAGGGAAATAGAAACTCTGCCCAGGCTGCACCACCTTATATGGGTCCCTGTGAAAGCATTGTGGGTGTTCCTCTGGCTGCCTTTTCCAGGACTAGGAAGAATCAGAGAAGAAACCTTTATTTATTTTTTATTTTTCTGTTTTGTCTTAAGCAGTTGTTTAGAGAAGATTTACATAGAAGATAATATGTTGCTGTGATTATTTATCTGATTATAAACAGTGGGGAGCACATCCCTTACAGAGTTGAGAGTGGGCAATTTGAATGTCTGGTGTAGGTATGGTCAGGCAGTTGATGGGGCTGGGACCCTTGGGGACAAGGAATGAGTGAGGACCCACATTGTGTAGGATACTGCAGCACAATTTCCAGAGGAGTTCTTATTGTGAGTTGTGGCCTCATTCGATTAAAATTTCTCTTTTAACTTCCTCTTTGTTGTAGCTAAATAAACTGCACTTTGATTCTTCCTGCAGCTTTCCTTTAATTCTATAGTAGCCAAGAAAATGAATAGCAGGTTTTTAATTGTTCTAACTTCTTCTAAGGTTTACTTTGAAAATTAGAACAGGTCTGCTTAGGTCCTTAGAACATCTGGAAGCTATCTGAACATGAAAGGTGCTGTCAGTGAGACTATTTACTGAACACCTTTTTTCTGGCTTCTGAAGTGTTGTTTTCATATGACTGGGAATTATTCTCTGTGTTACGATTGTATTTGGTCTTACTAAAAATAATGGGTTCCCTTATCAGGAGAAGAAACTAGCTTAACAACTCTGTCTTTTTAACAAAATCATTACAAATCAACTGCTCTCTGTTTGCTGAGTACCTGGTAAAGGTGAAGAAGCAAGAGAGAACCAGGCTTTTGTTTGTTGTTTACGATGGAGAAGTATTTGAAATGATGGTGTAGACTTGGAGTTACTTTTAGTGTTTGAATGAAGTGATGTGTGGAGGATGCCTTGGTGAGAAAACCACCTGTGTCAGCTTCTTGAACTGCAAAATAGGGAGAGGAAGGGGTTTGTAGGTTAAAACTGTCCCTGCAAGTGTATTTCCATCATCACCCGTATATGTTAATCATGGTCACTTGAATTGTTCTTGCTGTCCGGTACCAGCTCTGGGGCTGGGAGTGCAGCCCAGCCTACCTGTCAGGCAACTGCTGCTCTGGGAAGGTAGAGAGACAAACTCAAATAACAAGAAAGCTGTAAGACCAAATGCAAATACTTTGGGCTAAGAAGGAGAGATGGGAGAATTGGTGAGAAGGGAAGTAAAAAGAAACATGCTATCTGGAAACAGAAAATGAAAGCATTGGAATCCCTGTTGTTTAATAAAAGGTTGCCAGACGGTGTGACTTCTGAGAAAGTACACTTGGGGATTTTTCCTCCTTTGTGTGGGGTGGAAGACATAAGCATAACTAATCACAAAGCTCATGCAGAAGTGCTAGAGATGGGTGGGGCACCAGGCTCTGCAGTGGGGGATGTGAGGCTTCAGCAATCTTACTAGACTGTGTGATCTCATGTGTGTGTGTTCTTTACAGATACATGGAGCTTCATATCTCCAGCTGTTGCACACATGTTTTGATAAGAATATTTGGTCAGGTTTTAGCTCTCTGCAGTGTAAGTTAGACACTGTATGAGTAAAGCCATATTTCTGATGTGTACAATGCATTTATTGCTGTGTGTCATTAAGCACTCTCTAGTAATAGTAGAGTTCCAGTGATAAAATTGCATTTGTCTGCTCAATGGAAAATAGAGTCTAGTAACATTTGCAAACAAGTCTCTCTGTGACACTTCTTCAAAGATTAAATTCTGAGTTCAGTTGTGATAAATACCTTTTGACAGTTATTTGAAGTCACTTAAAGATGTGAGAAAGAGGAAAGAAGGGGACAAGCAGTATTGGTTCACTTTGGGTTTGGATTTTTTTTGGTATTGATGTTGTAGGGTGAGTTTTTATGTTTAAGGTGTTTTATTTCTTTTTAATAGTTGTATTGATGCTCTGTATTAGCTAATAATTTATATTTAGCAGTTATATGAAAGCTAAAAATCATGCAAAAAAACCCTAAGGAAGTTGGGGAGGAGTAAAAAGAAATTTGATTCATACTTTTTACAGTGTTCGCATAAGCCTGAAACAACACAGGCAAGCTGCTTTAGAGACCAAAGTTAAATTTTCGGTTCATGTTGCACGTCTTGAATTGTATGTGGAGCACACCAAACTAATTTAAAACATTAACAGAGAAGCGGTATAAATTTTGAATGCAGATCCTCATTCAGTGTGTTGGGACGCCTGTGAGTGCTCTCGATTAGCTCTGAGGGGCTGTGAATAGTTAATTATTCAGCACGGAGTTCTGAAGTTCAAAACTCTAAGCACTTTCAGCAACAGGTCAGTCATGTGAAGTCTCAGTACTCAGTCCTTTTTTGCAATGCTGCTCTGGACCTTGTTTGCTCTTCATTGTGAGTGACTTTAAACTTTGTTTTCCCAAGAAAGATGTGTGTTTCTAATTGTTGTACTCTAGATCTTTTGTTTTAATTCTGTCAGACAATTGTAGAAGTTAATTTCTTTTGTTAGGTTTAAAGCAAACAAACTTTGGTACAGCTCCAGAATCTAAATGACAAGTGTATTTTTGGAAACTTTGTGTATTATGTTTGAAATATATTAACTTTCTGTGAATGTGGCTCCATTCAAGCTTTTTAGAAGAATGTTTATAAGAAATTAAAAAGGTCTCGTGAGGTAATGCGTCTTCACTGTGGTTTGGTTTTGTTTCTAATGGTAAAATTCTTAATAATAGTATCTTTTCCATATAGTGGACTATATGTTGTAGGACATGAGAGTGCTGCCTTCAGAATTTACTGTAACATAAATATATTAAGAGATATAGAGAGTTTTCCTTTTATGCTGTTTTGGATTTTTTTTGAAGTGAAACTTATTTAGTGATCGCTCTTTGCATTCAAGAGTACACTGGCTAGTCACTAAGTGGGGAAAGGTATCAAGATAATTAAAACAGGAAATCAGGATAGATGAGAATATGTGAAAGCAGATTGTGACTGAAATGTCAAGAAATATTACAACACAGTAGAATTGGTTATACTGTTATTTTATTACTGTATAGAGGTAAATAATGTGGAGCTGGTAGGATTTGTTTGAATAATTTTAATAATAAAAAGAAAAATTTTGGGAGGAAAAATATCACTATTTCCTCCCATATCTATTCTATATTAAGTACACTGACACTGCAATTTGGGTTCATACTGCATAGTACAGTATTTCTGTTTATACTAATTCAGTAAATCTGTTTGCAGAATGCACAATTAGGGTTCTTTGCATAACGCAAGGGAGGTAAAAAAGTAACTAATTTAATTTTTTCAAGGTACATATAAAAAACTCTTGTTTTGGGCTTGATGTTTATTGACCTTTTTTTTTTTCTTTGTGGATAAATTGTGATTCATTCCTGTTTTGAGAATTGTTAGTTTGTCAGTATGGAATCATATGTATAAATACATAATTGACTTTCAATTTTTATCCATTTATTTCAGAAGAAAATCTAAAGCACCATCTCCTCCTTCTGAAGCAACACCCACTGCTGTTTCTCCATTTGGTAACATAGAGTCAACCAACCTCATCATGGAACAGAAAGAGAATGTAATCGATAAAGATATTGAACTATCAGTGGTCCTGCCAGGAGATGTGATCAAGTGTACTACAGTTAATGGGAGGTACATTACACAGAATTTTTTTTTTTTTTTTCTCAAGTTTACTTCAGCCTTCATCCAGGTTTTAATCACTTGGTAAAACACTTGAGTTAAGTAAGCCTGAGAATAAAGTGCATCCAAAAAGAGCAGTGAAGCTTGTGAAGGGTCAAGATCACAGGTCTTATGAGGAGTGGCTGAGGGAGCTGGGGTTGTTTAGCCTGGAAAAAAGGCTCGGGGGGACCTTTTCTCTCTCTACAACTACCTAAAAGGAGGTTATAGCGAGGTTGTGGTCAGTCTCTGCTTCCAAGCAGCAAATGATAGGATAAGAAGAAATGGCCTCAAGTTGTACCAGAGGAGGTTTAGATTGGATATTAGGAAAAATTAGCTATGGTAAGGATTATCAAGCATTTGAACAGGTGGCTCAGAAGTGGTTGAGTCACCATCCCTGGAGGTATTTAAAAGACATGAAGATGTGGTACTTAAGGACATGGTTTAAGGGTGGACTTCAGAGTGCTGGGTTAATGACTGGATTTGATGATCTTAAAGATCTTTTTCTACCGAAACGATTCTGTTATTCTACTATGATTTTGGGTAGATATGGAAACATCTACTTTATACATTTATCTACCATTTGGGAAGAATATTTTTTTGAGATTCAGAAATTCTGTGTGGCACCTCTCAGGATGTGTAGCCATACCTGTTGTTTTTTCTGGTCACTACAAATCTCAATAAAATACTGTTTTGTATGATGCACTAAATTTTCCTAGATAAGACATTTACTGTTAGGTTGAAATCATAAATCCTGGGAATTAAAATGTTGTGTTAATTATCATAGCAGGTCTACTAAGGAGGCTGCTGTTCAAGGCTGTGTATGGATCACAGCAACTCAGATGCTAGTTCGTTGCTATCCTAAGCTGTAATAAACAAACCTGTTTGTGTATTGTGCTTATGTTAGTGTATCACCCATGTCTTTGCTACTGAAAGCAAGAAGGTTGATTTACTTACTTATTCATTTAAACTAGGTGATGTAAATGTGTGCTTATACCTACTTCACTTCTTAATGAGAGATAAAGTCTGGCTTGAGTCCGTTCGTACTCTGTGTCATTTGCTAGAGTTCATGAGGTCATTGTTTAGGCATCAAATATGAGCTTGTTCACCAGAGCTGCAGTGGATGAACTCCTGTGGGTTTTTTTTACACCTCCCCTTGACTCTGTGTGGTTTTCAGGATACCTTATATATGAGATTTTATTTCCCAGAAGAAATTTTCTGAAATAATTAGAGACTACCTGATGCTTTATGGTGTTCTTGCCAGCATGTTTACAAGGAACATTGGAGTCTGGAAATACAGTACCTACCTTTGTTTTTAAAATTTCTTAAAGGTGAGACTCCATGTGTACACTGTCAGGAACTTCTCTTTCTTCTTTTCTCTCCCTTTGTCCACACTGATGAGTACCATGGCCCTCCCTCATGCTTTGCTCAGAACAAAGTGCTGGAAAGGAGTGTTGCATGTATCTTCACTTGGTCAGATTACATTGTGTACTCAGTGTTCAAGACAGGCCTCACAGGCTTATCTGGAAGTGCATATGTTTCCCAATAAGTTTTATTATCCTGCAATTACAGGGATTTTTCAGTCCAGATACTGTATGTGATTGAGTTCATAAATGTCTCTCTTGCAAATAAGAGCCAATATTAGCACTGCTCAGCTCACTCGGAATGAGAGGAGATACTATGCAGGACCTGCAATCCACTGTGAAACATGTTTCGAACTATCATTTAGTCTAGCTTTGCTCTATCCTGATAGTCATATTTTGTGAACAAATAGGCAAGATCCCTCTGGAAATGACATAAACAGACAAATTGGTAATTTGTCTCTTTCCTGTTCCTAATTGGAGATGAGCAGCTTCGAATGTCCTGAGGAGAGAATACCTTTTAAATCTCGTACTAGAAAAAGCAAAATGGTGAGTTTGAACAGCCATTTGTTCAAATTCTATAGTCCACTAGAAGAAACTTCTCTATTTCAGATAAAGTTGGGTTGGTATGCTCCCTCTGCTTTGGCATAGTGGATAGCAAGAGCTATGCAACACAAGGCAAGGTGTTACAGAGATCAAAATCCTGAGTATGTTTAAGTAAGCAAAAGAGGATCAGAATGAAATTCAGAAGGAATTTTAGAGAAAAAAGTTACAAGACAGAAGAATATTTGATTCTTGTGCTGATGTCAAATAACTAAAGTGAAAGACTGAGAAAAAGAAGGGGAACTGAAATAACTCATCCCTCGTTCTGAAACTTCAGGCATGGGTGGAATCTCTTATTTAAACCTCAACACCAATTTATACTTCGTAGTAGTTTGCAACAGGGATTCAGTTCAGCTCTTCAGGATCTGACAGTGATGTGTGCACTCTCCTAACATCAGAATTCCTGGAGGGGGATCCAGGCAAACAGTTATTTCAAAACAACGACCAACCCCCCCCCCCAAACATGGTAAGAGCAATGAGTGGGAGGAAGTGAAAGTACACTGTTCTGAGGCAGGAATAGAGAAATGAGTGAAGTTGTTTTTTTTTTTTTTTAATTGGAATGTTTTTCAGAGTGATTTTACAGCATATGACTGAAGAATTTTCTACAGCCAAAGAAGAAAAAAACCCAAACCAACTTGAAGAACTATTTTTTTTTTAGCAGCCTAATCATTTTAATTTAGTTTTTTGGTTTCCCACAGAGAAGAAATGCAGAGTTTGAGAAATTTTTCTTGAAGTTGGGTAATTAGTTTCAGTTGTATGCATCAATAAATTAACTTGGCAATTTCAAGGGCCAATATGATTGTGACATTCATTTAATTTGGAAACGGTGTGTCAAACATAGTTTTGCAGGGTAGTGTGTTCAGGACTTCAGTTTCAGATGCCTTTTAGAGAGACCTTAGCTTTGCTGAATTTGTTTTATATGAGTCCTTTGTGAGTTTTCATTTGATCCATTCTGAGTATTTTCAGTCATTAATAAACTGTTGGTTTACTCTGTATAGCTACCTACTGAATAACAAGCTTTGTGGTGTTGCCCTACTTTTCTAAACCTATTGTACTTAAATTTATTTGTAACAAATTCTGGGAGTTTTGGTGGGTTTTCTTGTTCTCCATAACAACAAATGTCTTTTTCTCTTTAGCAAATAGGATTAGTAAATATTTTTTCAAGGAAGACCATGAAGCCACAGTAATTAAGTAATTGGAGATCTATAGCAAGCCACAGTGTGTGTAGGTTTCTTCTCTCTATCTCTTTTTTTTTTTTTAATATTCCATCCATACCTAGGAATACTTTTGGTGGTTATTGACAGTTTTCTTTGTTCAGAGGTGCTTAGTGCAAGTTTCATGATGGAAAGGCTTTGTTCCTAAAGTTTGATTGTATCAGAATCTTAACTTCTTCTTTTTGGTTTTTTGTTTGTTTGTTTGTTTGTTTTTGTTTTTTGGTTTTTTTTTTTTTTTAAGTAGCGAGTTTCTAACCCTTGTTTTTGGAGAGGAGTGTGGAAGTTTGATGCAGTTTTTCCTTTAAACACTTGATTCAGTATTTGAAGGTACACCTTATACTGTTGTTCACAAACATAACATGGTTTGATACATTCTGGTAAAGGTTCATCCTTTAACTATGTTATGTAATGAGAGGCTGCTTTTAGACACTTTTTATTGTTATTTAGTCAGGTAGGAATAACCAGAGGAAAACAGATGAGAGATGAAGGGGTGTGGGAATATGTAAATATATTTAAAATCAGAGATTTCCAGAACTTAAGTAACTTAAGTTATTTAAAATAAGTATTTTACTGAAATTAGATAAAACAGGACAAAGAGATGATGTAGTCTGAGGCAGCTGATGGCCACTTTCTGGCATTTTACTAAATATTAATTATGTTAAATTTACTGTGATAGATGTATTCTCCCATCTACAATCCTTGAAGGTTTTAGCAAAAATAGTTTTACAAGTTTTGGAGGATGTGATTAAAAGAAAAGCTTGATTTTTGTACCAGTGTAGGAATACCTTTCTAAAGCAGTCGTTGAAGATGTCTTGGCCTCCAGTGAAGGATGGGGGTACTTAAAGTCCATCATCTTCTAGTCAAGCAGGTCATTTCTGGAAGTACCAATGGAAATTAAACTTGCACTGAATCACTGTTCTCATGTACTAATTTGCATGTACCCGTCTTGTTTGTGAGCAGCTGTTTCTCACTTATCATTCTGTCACTTCTTGTGTCACTGGTTAATGTGAGGGCTTGCCCCTGTCACTGTGGTGAATTTCTATAGGATGGCTTTCTGTGATCTTTGCTTGGGAATTCTCACACTGGTCATCTTTGGTGTTCTTACTGTTCTCCAGTAACTGAAGAGCAGCTTTTAAAGCTAGTCAGTGTATAAAAATGCACCAGAAAAAAAGTAATGGGTAACTTATTGGATATGCTGATAACCAGAAAGGTCACTGCAGAAGTCGTATCTGCAGTCACCTCTGACTCCCTCCTCCCTGGCCGTGCCCAGCCCCCAGTGAGATGGGGGAATGATATGATTTGCATTTGCAGCCCTTTTTTAGGGTGAGATGGATGTATTTGTTTTATTAGAGATTAGAAGTACAAGAAATGGAGGAGTTCCTCCTTCTTTCTTCTAGCAGGAGATGAATTGAAATAAACTCTCTGGTTTAGCTATGTGAAGAGGGAGAAGTAGTTATTATTTTGCGTTTTGCATGGTATTCCTCAGACTACTATATATATCATCTAGATGAAAGCATGGGAATATATGACATTCTTCTGTACCTCTTCAGACCATCTGATAACTACTTTTTGATACCTTGGAGTATGATTTCTGTATGTTTTGTTTTGTCTTATTGTTCCTTTGTCTCCTGAGGCAAGTGTTCTTCTGCCCCTAAAGCAGACTTTCCTCTGGAAAAAATATGTCTGTAGTATCTATATCTGTCAGCTTCCAGTTTCCATCCTCTGGAAGTGTAGCATGTGGACCAGAGAGAGTCCAGCCCTGCTGCCAGAGATCAGAAGACAGTTTGCTTAAGGAACACTTGGTCTTAAAGACGAAGTGAAAACAGGAATGATATTCTAGGGTAAATTAAAGGGAGGAAAAATTCAGTGTTCACAGTAATTGCTAACATTGAGTCATTCTTAATTCTTTTTACAGAACTGTATCATAGGAAAAGTGTGTTTTAACTTTCTACTTAATAAACGTATTCATGTTCTTTGTTATCTAGAATTCTGCTTGGCCTGAGTCCTCTTTGTAGAAGCTCTCTATTTCCACATTTGGCTATGCTACCAGGATACTTGCATGTGTTATGAGATTACATCTAGAGTTCAAGATTTCTGATAAAGCCATACCAGCCAAACCCTGTATTAATTTTCTCATAGACACTTCAGCATTCTTTTCAACATACCATTTCATTGCTTCACAGACTTTTAAATTATTTTCATAATACACTTGTGAGACAGAGCAGGTGATGGATTTCTGTGTTTGTAGCTGTAACTGAGAGATGCAGAGAATGTAAAAAAGAAACTGTCCTTACAGGTGGTTACCCAACTCAAAAAAAATTATTGAGGAATGATCTGATAGTACTATAACCTTATTCAGTTGCTGTAACATGCAAAGTTAGTATACTGTCCTTACCTTTGGTTTATTTAAACATTTATGGCACTTCTTTTTAAAGTACAATTTAATAAATTTATTTCAGTAACAACTGGAAATGCTCAGCATGTCTTAATATGCCGTTGTGCATGTTCTTCCTTGAGCACTGTGAGAACAAGGACATAAAATTACTGACTACACATGACAAATTCAGTTTGCCGGGCTTCATTGTGGAAAGGACATCTGATGCATCACACAGAGCTTCTCAAGAAATTGTATCCACCCGCTATATTGTCCTTTAGCTTCTTTCCCTCTGTCTATATTAAACACCTAGAGAATTTGAGGATCCCTAATGCAAAACCTCCTTAAAAAGGTGACTTCCTCAAATTTTATTTTTCCTGCTCCTTCCAAAAAGCTCATCCTCATCCCTTCATACAAGGGACTTTCTGAAAATAAAGTTCCTTGTAACTCTGAACAAATATAAAAATTTCAAGCTTCAGGAGAGAACTTAACGAATAGCAAAGCATTTATCACCACTGTTAAAGTTCCCACTAAATGTCAAATGAGGTGGCTAATCCACATGTCCCTGTTGACCTCAGGAAAGCTTTGCTTCACACAAGCAAAAATTTCCCCCTTTGCTCAAGCACTTGGCATACTTTTGTGCAAATTGGTCTTGTTTTCCTTTTAGTGTTTTTTTGGGGGGTTGACATTTTTCTTTTTAATTTTATTTTTTTAAATCTTGAAGATATTTGGAATTGGTGCCTGGCAGTAATTATTTAGTCATGGAAGGGAAGGGATGAGCTAAATTAAATGTTTAGCAGCATGTTTTGTTATAACCTGCTTAATTGTCACCTGTTGTGACAATTCCATATGTCTTTTACAGGAAGCCCATGATGGACTTGCTGGTCTTTCTCTGTGCACAGTATCATTTAAATCCATCAAGTTATACTATAGAGTTGGTATCAGCAGAAAGTAGCCAGATTAAATTCAAACCCAACACGCCAGTGGGAATGCTTGAAGTGGAAAAGGTGATTTTAAAGCCAAAACAAATAGATAAGAAGAAACCTGCTCCAGTTATACCAGAGGTGAGAACTAAAGTTAAAGCATATTGAGAAATTAGAGTCACTGTTGTATTCAACATGTTGAGCTGGTAGCTCGGCCTCTTGTTTCAGCTTTTCCTGTTGTCTCTAATCCTCTCACCTTGCAGCTCTGGGAAATGCTTCACTCTATGTTCTTGATAACCTCCTCTTAGGTAATATATATTTGAATTTGTTGCAGCAAATGTCTTTGCTGCCAAAATAAGGAAATATTACAATCTTATTTGAAATTCCCCACCCTACTGTCATTTTGAATATTTCTGCAGATGAAGTGTGGCTGAATACAGCCTTCCACAAGCTGAAAATCAACATCTTGTACAATCTGTCATGCTGTGATATATGTGCCCTTCTGACTGTATGTTCATTTTCCTTTAATGCATACTGTACTCTCTTTTTACTTGGCTTTATTTATATATTCTTAAGAAGGCAGAAGGTTTTAGAAGTACTAAACCAAATTCTGGATGTTGCCTAAATCTTTCCTTCCAACTTCGTCCTTCTACTGTATAGAAGAATACTGTAATTTATCTAAAGCACTGAGCAGAGGGCCAGAAGTGCTCTTCTGCTGCACTTTTACCTTCCTCCTACATGTGTGCACATACTCACTCCTGGCTTATCACCAGACTTCTGCAGCTCCTAATATAACCTCGCAGGGCACCTCACCCCAGGCCTACCCTGCTGCACAGGCACATGGCAGGTGCTAAAGGAGAAGCAGACTGCTTCACCTGTCTTTTCCTTGCATTAGAGGGAATAGCAGAATAGTTCTTAGTTTCTTATGCAATGATTCTGAACCTAGAACACTGGTGAAGTTGGCCATAAGTGGAGTTCCTGTGGTTACTCTGAGGCTGTTATGAAAATGCCAGTTCTTTCAGAATTTTTGCTGGTATTTATTGGCATTTTCTTCTCTTTAGCAAACGGTAAGGGTAGTGATAAACTACAAGAAGACACAGAAGACAGTCGTGAGAGTTAGTCCACATTCACCCCTTCAAGAACTCATACCAATTATCTGTAGCAAATGTGAGTTTGATCCTTCACACACTCTGCTGTTGAAGAATTACCAGTCTCAAGAACCCCTTGATGTGACAAAATCTCTTAATGACCTTGGACTAAGAGAACTATATGCCATGGATATCAGTCGAGGTAAGATATTTTTCTAAATTGCAATTATATAAAAGATATTTGCTTAATATTTTAATAATGTATACATTTAATTGGGTTTTTTTACTTCTGAAGAAATTATTTTCTAGCAATTTAGTATATGTTTCATTAGTCTTCCACAAACTTGGAACTGAGACAGGTTTACCTGGACTTTTGTTTTTGGAAATGCTGTATAGAAGTTTTATTTTCTAAGCAAGTGTTAAGTACCAACAAAGGTAGCTGAGTACAAATCCTCACTAAAAGCAAAGCTTTTTTTTTCTTCCCTCACACCTTTCCCAAAAAATGCAACAACATTTTTACCCTTAGCTCATAAGCATAAGATCATGATAACCTAAAACGAACGGAAACGTTAGAGAAAATTAGTTTTGCTTTAAAACTATTTAAAATTTTAAAAGTGTTAGAATATTCTGATGGTGTTTATGTATATTTCTGAGTGCTGCTTGCTAATTTTATAGGTTGTGAAGGAATAATAATGGTGTTTTTAACTGCGGTCCAACGGGCACAATGAACTAACTTCCTAATCTTTGTACAGACATTCCTAGTCCAGGTTTTAATTTCAGCTGGACAGCTCTGTTTTTCATGAGATTTATTGTACTATGATTAAAAATTCTGTACAGTGTGGTTTGATCTGTTTTAGACATTTCTCACAGGAAATTTTACCTCAATGTGGAAAGCAGTAATATTGATTGACTCCTGGTTTTGACTACGATTGTATTTGTTTCACTTTATTTCTGCTCTAAAACCTGGGGGGTTTGTTGGGGTTTTGTTTGTGTCTTTACCCTTCTTTTACCTAAATATGGTAACCTTACTCTTTCATGGTTACAGTTTTAAGAGTTGTCTCAGTTACTTCCTAAAGGTCAGAGTGGCAGATTTGGACAATATGTCCATTTTCCGTAGAGAAAATAAAAATGATATATCTTTCTCTTCCCCAGTGGAAAACAAAGTATTTTAAGTTGTCTAAACATGTTACTTTGACTACATGTGCCCATAGTGCATTGTCTGGTTTGTTGTCTGGTTACCTACTGCTTTCATTTACAGACTGGCAAAGCTGCATTTTGCACAATATGACTTGTGCCTCATTTGTATCAACAGCCAGAAATGCTTAGGATGGCATACAAGGGCATATATTGGCAGTGCCCTACTAGGAAATTTAGATATTCTTCAGTTCTTAATACGAAGTAGTTTCAGCATTTCAATTTTGCAGACAGGTTCAAAATTCTGAATATTCAGTTATCTTTATAAAAGTAAATGGTGAGATATACTTTTTATTTAATAGAATTTAAATTCAAATTTTATTTGATTAGCATATTTTGCTTTTACATTCCTCTTTGTCTTCCAAGTTTGGACTGCCTGACAATCCAAAACTTACAGAGCAAAATATTCTAAATACTGATTTTTCTCTTTGCTTCAGAAATATAAGTGGAGCCTCCCTCCTTACGAACAAGATTCCAGTCTGTGTTGCATGTCTCCAGTTTCAAGTTCTTGGATGGCTGACAGTATTAGGCAGTAAAGATGCACATCCTTTAATTTCAGCAAAATAGCCAGTTAATTTTTCCCTAATGTTGAAGGTTCAGCTTGGCTTTCTGTGTTTATAACTTGTAACTGCATCCTTGATTCAGATTCATATTTTCTGTCTTTCTTTTTGTCTTTCTGTAGCCACATCACCAGTTGATTTAAATTTACGGTCTTTGCAAGGTATGATTTACTGAAATAGGCGGTGAAACTGTAGCACATATGTGACATTACCACCTGCTCCTATTGTAACAACTGCTTAACTGTGACACGAGTAATATGTCTGTCCTATCTTAAATGCATATTTAAAATGATAGTGCAGAAATGGATATGCCCAGCTATATAGAAAGTATTTTTTATAGTTTTATCCTAGATCAATTTATTACATTAAGGGTCACATTTATATTGATACTTGTACCAGCTTTTCTGATTTCTGTTGCTCATTGCATTTGCATTCAATGGGATTTCTTTAAGAAAGTTCATTCCAGTAAAAAATTAAAAAAGAGACAACTATTACATTTACAAATCCTCTGCATGAATAAAACCCGGGATGAGCTCAGCTGGTGATAAAAACACCAAGGTTGTGGGCTTGATCTCCGTATGGCCCATTCGCTTAAGAGTTGGGCTCAGTGATCCTTGTGGGTCCTTTCCAACTCAGAATATTCTGTTATTCTCTGAAAAAAAAAAATGTAAGGAGGACAAATTCTGCAAGCCACTAGACTGTGACTGCCACACAGTTAGTTATGTGTGCAGGACCGATCGAGGCTTTGGGTGATCTTTCTCCATACTCACACCATGTGCAGGCTGGGGCCTGGGTTGTCCCACTTGACACTTTGCCAGGAATTTAAGCTGTCAGGAATAGAGGGCTGAAAAGACTGTGCTCTTTTTCCCTTTTACAGCCTTTGTAGTATGAACCATAACATATGACAAGTGGGATGGGCTGGAGTAAGTGCTAGGGGTATTAAGAGCTGCTGAAACTCATCTGACCTGAGTTCTGAGAAGGACAGGAGGAACATGGATGGTGGGAGACCTGTTCATTTTGCAGCACCTAGAAAAAGTATTAGTATAGGTGATTTACGATGTGTTTTGTGTATCACTGCAGGAGGTTTATGACTCAGTGAAATAGGAAGAATCAGGAGAAATAATATCTGCATGAAATAATATCTAGAACTTTTGTTTTCTATTTTAGACTCCTACCAATCTGAAAACATAGATGTTCTGAAGGAGAAAGAAAACAAAGGATTTTTCAGCTTTTTTCAACGAAACAAGAAGAAAAGGGACCAAGTAAGGCGTAACTTTGTATCAGCACAACTTCTAGAAACTTATTCATATTGAACAATCAATACTGTTGATTGTTTTCCAGAAAGTGTATGTAACTTGGATTTCTTTTTATTTCCCGCACTTCAAGGCTGCCAGTGCCCCGGCAACTCCATTGATGAGCAAGCCAAGACCAGCATCTATCACTAGATCTAACACTGTCAGCAAGCAGTATGATTCCAACACTCTGCCATCAGAAATGCCGAAGAAACGGAGAGCTCCTTTGCCACCTATGCCAAACTCCCAGAGTGCTCCCCAGGAACTCTCACAAGCCCAAGTCAGACCTGCACCTGATATTGTGAAATCCAACAGCTTTGATAGGAATGCACAGGTTAGTTACATTTCCTTCACTTCTCTTCATAGGTATAGACATAATAATCCTGACAAGCCTGTTGTTAGTATATGATGAGGCTCGAAATAAATGGGAAATAAAAGTATAGTACTTGCTTTTAAAAAATTTAGCTTGAAAATAACTATAGGAATTGAAAGATGCATTGCTTTTAAACTTCAGATCCAAAATAGCTGCTGTATTTTGAAAAGGTAAAACGAACTTCTTGTATAAGTTGGTCTTGTAAGCACCTTTTTGTTCTTTTGTTCTCATATACTTACATGTGAGAACATGGTCTTGCTTTATCATATCTAGTAATTGATGTTGTGATATTTCTATTAATTTTTAATATTTTAGTTACATGGGATAATAAATAATTTGTTCTTTACATAGTTAGAAAAAGGTGGGCCTCTTGAGGAGCGGTATCAACATTGTTGTGCTCCCAGCGAGTCAAAGTAGCGTTTTTATTTTAATCAAATAGGGCTGTATTTTATCGAAGCTATGAGATGTGGGCTACATATTTAAGTAACCTATATATCCCAAGACTTGAAGAAATTCTGCCAATGGAATTTGGTAGAATTGAGGCATTAACTCTTATCCTGGCGTTGCACAAGGTTAAAATTTTTTGGAGTTTTTTTAATTTATTTCATACTTTGCTGTGAATACAGTTAAAGGTTGTTTTTTGATATGAGGTTATTGGCATGCTAGAAAAATTAAATGCAGAACTAAAATACAAGTCTGAGGGATTAATTTTGAGTTAGACTTGGAGACAAATTTCAGACTGTGACTTCCTTTATCTTTATACAATGATTTAGTCTTTCACTGATGCACAGAACCACAAGAGAGCACTGTTTAATAGAAGTTCTGTCTTTGTGTATTGTGCCTTGCTGAAAAGCTTTATCATTTATCATTTGAAGAAGACAAAGGTTTCTTTCTAAATTTTAATAAAAGGAACCTGGGGGAGAGAAGAAAATAATGATCTTTTTTTACCTCACTATGTTTGTCTTTTAATTGAATTCAAATTTTTTGAAAATAATTTATTAATGTCAACATGCTTTAAATGATTAATATCCTATTATGTCTAAAAGTAACGTATGACTGCTTGACTGTCACTCAAAAAATTGCTTAGATTTATTATTTTGTACTGACATTTCTTACTCATCTGAAGTGATTTGGCTGAAGTTGAATAGCTCACAAAGAGAGGACAGCACAAATTATATTTTTGTGTGGATTTTCTGTTTTGTACTACTTTGTGCAACCCCCTTAGGAAATGCATGCCAAAGACTTCTAAGGTGACTTCTATTTCATTCTGACTTGATTGCACAGTGATTTATCAGAAAACACAGATTTAAATGTGCTCTGTGTTTTGAATTAATTCAAATAAAATATTTTGTCCTTTGGTATCTACTTTCCAATAAATATCATCTAATTAATGAATTTGGACTGAATGGTACATATTGCTCAACTTGTTAAGGGAACTCTTGAGAGGGACCCTGTAAGATACTTCCTTGGAGAATAAAGCTGCTCCTTGAAAGAGTGCTGAGACATTTCCGGAGACCTTCCTGCAGCACAAGAGCAGTCCATTTACACAACCCTAACCCTAAAGAAATTTAAATCTCCAGTCTACCCGTTGGAAAAGAAAGAGAAGGGAGAAGATGGGAGAATAGGGAAAGGATGGGAAGCAGCTAATCAATAAAGTACTTCTGAAAAGATTTTTTTAGTCACTGTCACAGAATAGCTTAGTTAGGATTTCTGGGAGGGATAAGTTCCATGCTTAAAAAAATAAACCAGAGCCTTTCTTGCCTTCAACTTCATGGTCAGCCCTTTAAAGGAAAAGTTGGGCAATGATGCAGTGAATACGATGGACATCAGGTAGTTTTTGAGTAGAGTCAGGGCCACCTCGGAGAAGACAATGCTCAGGACTACCTATACTGAAGTTTGCATGAGAATCATTTGCTATTATTCTGAGATGTTTCAGAATTGGTGGTTGAATGTTGCATGCATCCACTTTTCAGTACATCAAATGCATAACCTTGTCCCTTTATTGTATTTGCCTCTGTACCAGCAAGGGTGCGGATAAATCCTAGGCGATAATAGTAATATCGTGTGTTGGGACAGAATATCACCAGCTGAGTTGCTCCAAATAAATTCTGTATGTACTTTCTTTCCAATAGATCAGAGGTATATTACTTCCTCTGTAGTACTTTGTCTAAGTTTAATTATTTTGGGAAGCTTAAGTCATGTAATAGAAACTGAGAGCATGAATACACTCAATGTAGGAGCAAATACATTTTTTTGCTCTTACACCTTGGACATCCATTTACCTGCATACTTGTACAAAGGGGAGAAAGAAATACTAGCAATATGGCTAGCAATGTGCTTTGATATCCCTACATGATGCAGTTGCGTGTATGTCCTCTGTTAAACTAAGATATGTATGGAGCAAAAGAGGTAGGTACTAGTGGTGTGTGAGGTAAGGTTTCCAGCACACTGAAATGCTCCACTACTACTATATTCTTTCCCAAATACTTATGTTTTCTTCCATTCCAGCTGCAAAATTATTATGTCTTAAATACCTTTACTTGTTTTTTGAATTGCTAAGAAGGGCAAGGCACCATGTCTGCTACTGCTTACAGAGGCTAGAACTTGGGAAACACTGATATGTACAAGTGTCTGCTTGGGGTAGTGTGGCATTTGGTGCCAAATTTGTCTGTACATATTTGAGACTAAGAAGTTTCATATTCAACCTTGCTTGTTCCAGGATGAGGAGGGTGTACAGTGTTAAAAGTAGAACTCTGGCATATGTTCTGGAAGTTATGACAGAGTCCACTGGTGTTTCTGCACAAGCATAGTTAATTAGTTTAATGATTCTAAAAAAAATTTTAATTTAAATGTAACTGATAAAGCATTGGTTATCATTGGCAGTTGGTATGACACATGAATACCCAGATGTATATTCCACAACTTTGTCAGATATGTCTTAATAACATTATTTTAATTTTTTTCCATCTGTTTAAAGTACTATTTTCACATTACAGCCTTTGTTAGGATTTGAAAGCTCTTAATATTCATATGTTGAATAATTCCTGAGAAAATCTGTTCAGCACTCGAACCTCAACTGGAACATTTAGTTCTTTCTTGAAATCTCTCTTTGCAAGTCGTTTGTTTCTTTGGATGCAAAGGGCAGTAGAAAGGCTTATAAAAATCTTCTAGTAGCATTTGTGCTCTTATGCTGAGAACATTATTCCCCTCCCCAACACACACACTCATTCTGTGCAGAAGGGAACTCTGGTGACATCTGTTTGGCTGAGCGAGTGTGCGCAGAGCTCTGAGCCAGCCGAGTCAGCTGAGGGAGCCTGTGTGAAGCAGACGAGGGTGAGACCTTTGAGCAGAGAAACGTGTCTTTGTGCAGAACAGAGGGGCTGCAGCCAGCAGCTACCAGAGAGGAGACAAATAGAACTGCCCAAATGCAAGGAGGAATTATCTTAGCAAAAAAAACCCCCTCATTTGGGGAAATAATATTGTATTTGACATCCTCTCCTGAATAAATTCAAAGGCTGAATATTAATTGTTTTTCCTTTTTGAGAACTATTTGGGAACTGTGAATACGAAACTATAAAAGTGTAAAGTGATTTTTGTTGTGTGACATTTTAATCAAGAAACTGACTTGTTTAAAGACTATTCAAGCATGCAAGTATTTTTAATTAGGAGTAGAGTATGTCCCTGTCCTCTGGTGTTCTTAAAAGAACATTTCACCTTGTGCTTTGTGTTTTCTCTTTTAAGCCCTGAGTTCTGCTTTGCTGTAAAAGGTTTGAGTTGCTTGCTTTGGCAAGTGATTTTTTTTTTTTTAGAGTGATGTCTGAAGAATTGTGTGAATGTTTTGGGCAGTGTTGCTCCTTACAGTGCAGTATAATATCTATGGATCTCTCATACCTGGTATCAAGGTGAGACAAATCAGATGACCGAGCGTGCCCAGGGTGACTCAGAAGATAGTTTTCATCATTTCAGTTCATTCATTCAAGTATTCTATTGAGATCTAATAGGAGCTGCCAAACACTGCCTGACAGACATCTTGTGCCAGTATCTTTTCTCTTGTGAGTAATTTTCTTTATAGATTTGATTGTGTACAATCAAATACTCTAGCTTTTGCTCTTTAATATCCTGCTTACTGTAGGATATGTATTTGTTCAGTGGTAGCTTTCTAAATACTAGTGTTTTATTCCATGGAAATTAAGACTGTCAACAGTTCTGTTGACTGTGATGCTTTCAAAAGGATTGCTAGTGAAACAGGAATTTGTAGGTGTTTTTTTACCATCTCTGTTCCTTGATATTGTGCTTTGTGAAGTGGGCTAATTAATTGAAGCACAGAGAAGTTCTCTGAAGATGAGCCCCCATCCAGTAGCTGTGTGGATCCTTCTAGCCAGAAATGAATGTTACTGCTGAATTTTATCGTATTGTTGAGTAGAAAGTGATAGGGATTAGAATTACTACAGAAAAAGACAGCTGTGTCTAGTGCAAAATGCATTCCTTTATTGCTGGGATCCTGAACATTATCATTGTAATAGATGTGGATATAGAAGGTTTCTTCAGCATAAGGCAAATTGCAATTAAGAATGGCAGGCAAATTTACAACCACTGTCTTTGAGACAGAATGTGTTTTTAAAACAACTTAAAATGCAATTGGGCTGCTATATCATAAAAATATAAGGCCTTTAACAGGTATCCTTTGTCCATTTTTAATGGTTTTGATTATTTGTGAATTAAGAACTTTTTTACTACAATAGAGAGGACATTACTACACTGTAACATCAGTAGGTACTATTAATTATTGTTTTGCAACTTATTAAAATTTAACTTTGATAAGTATTATAAGACGGTTTACTTTCCAATATGAGTTTTGAAATTGGGCATTCCAAAAATTTCTATGAAAGTTGAAGTACTTCACGGAGGGAAATAAATTTCTAATAATTGAGTATACAGCCCAGTTAGGACTCCTGTTGAAGGAATGGAGAAGGAAATGTGTTCTGTCATTGCAGTGGGGTGTAGGTGAAGCTTCTTTCTACAATGATTTTAGAAAAGAATTATTTTGGGTTTGTAGGACAGCCTTTGGGCATAAAAGAATTCAAATTCTCATTTATACTATATGTAACAACTGATTTTCTTTTACTGATCTATGTTGCACCTCTGTGAATATATTCAATTACTGTAGAAAATCTTTTTTTTTTTTTTAAACAACTCCTTGGAGGAATTAAGATGAAAAACGTAATACATTTGGTAATAGATATATATTCTCTCTTTCCCAAATGTATATTATAAATACTTCTGGAGAATAATTACTAAAGCTATTTTGCTGTTTTTCATTGATTGCTAATAATCTTCCTCCCCTGTCTCCCTTCCCAGGCCCCTCCAGGATTAGTACGGAAAGGTTCCCTGCCGCTCAGTGACACTGCTTCCGTGAACTCCTCTCTAAGGAGGATGAAGCGCAAGGCGCCCTCACCACCCTCCAGAGCACCAGAAGATCAAAGTGAAAGCAGTAATGAGCCTGGTAATCTTTTTATGCTGTTTAATTGGAAGGCAACAGAAAGTATAGCTGTTTGGCTAAACATTAAAGCAACGCCACCTTAGGAGACAAGAATTTCAAGTTAAAATATGAGTGCCAAACCTCTTCGTGTGGTAAGGAGCTGGTTTATGGGACTGGCTTACGTAGTGTGTGTGAACTGGCACAGGAAGGACACAGGAGCAACCACAGGACTGCAGATGCAAAGAGTAAATTAATTTTTGTTACCTCACCAACAGGGGAAACCTCGAAGCCACACCTGGGCAGAGGCACCCGAGCAGGGACTCAGAGCTCGGTCCGTGCAAGGGGACTGACAAACCTGCGATTTTCCCTCTGTGTCAGGGGTTCACACAGGAGGAGTTTACCAACCACTGTGCTTTGATCTTTCCCACAGCAGGGCAGGGATCTCCAGCATGTTTGATAAGGTGCCTTGTGAATCTGTCGCAGGCCATGTTATCTAAACGCAGGTGTTCTGCTTGTCAAACACACAGGACTAAACAACAATTAGTATCATATATGTGGTTTTTTGCACCCCTGCTGCAAATCACGTGAGTGTGTTTACAGTCCTCCTTACCAGTCTTCTGTTATTTTCCCACAAGTGGGAGAAAGGCAGGTATTTAGAGCACACAGATCAGGAAAACACAGACAATGCCAAATTAATTATAGTTGGTTTAAGTATAGAATTGTGTTTGTGTTGCTCAGATGGACTGCTTGGGGTGGGGAGAAAAGATTAGCTTCTCTGTGTCAGAGAGGGTATAACAGGAAATGGACTGACAAGAAGAATCTTAGAGATAAGTTTTATATTAGTTTTTTGTGGTTCTTCTGTTTGATCAAAAATTCAATTCTCTGGTTCAAAAATACCAAAGAGTTGAGATTAAAATATCTGGAAAATGTGACAATGCGCAATAGTTGCTTAAGAGAAGATGTATTTCTTGAAGAACTCAGTAGTCTGTAAGACCATAATCTAACCATTTATCTAGAACTTTTGTTGGTGCAGAAAGTGAGAGGAAATAAAAGAGGTTGTTGCTTCACTTTTTGCAGTAATGGAGACAACAGAATCAGCCTCCACTCAAGTGGAAGGAAGAAGCACCGAAATGCAGCCTGAAACAGGTTGGTTCTTTTTCCAAAAGCATTGACAAAATCTACTTCATAGCAAGTTATGATAATTCATAGCAATAAATTACTATACTGCAGATGTGTAATAAGAATAGAATTAATTTTAATTTTTCAGATCAATTAACTTTTCCCTTGAAGTACAAATATGGCTTTCTAAAATAAAGATATTTTACTTTTAATGTCTACAGAAACACATACAATATATTTTGTACTGGTATCTGTACTTTACATTTAATAAACTAAACATTATCCTTGTTTTTCCACCTCCCTCACAAGTTGTAGAGAAGAATTATGTAGACATAATTTATATGATTTTTTGTACCTCATAACAAATCTTTCAAAAGCTAAAGCCCAGTCTTGTTTTTAGAACCCTGCTTTGTGCTGCCCTTGACCTGTGTAACCTGGGGCAGGAGCAAATCTGCGTCCGCCTTTTGGTTGGCATCTGAACAGCCTTTGAAAACATAAGTTGTAAATATAAACTGAATGCATAAATAGCTGTTCATACATTATTTGTTGGGTGTTATGGAAAAAATGTGATATGTGAAAGTATAGATGTTTAAAATACAATTATTTAGCTGCTGAACGTGATGCTTTTTTAATTTAGGCAGTTTGTGCTGTGAAGTACTTTTGTTTGTAAGCACCAGACTGTAGGGTTCAGATACTGGGTACAGCATCTAAAAGTCTTCTAAAATTTTTAAAAGCTTTTAGAATAATCAGTGCCAGTGCAGTCTGGAAAAATCGCTCTTCAATGCATTACACTAAGAATGAAATCTATAAATGCTAAGCCTGTGGAGTGCCACTGGCATTATATGAGGCTAAATACTCAGTTTCTATGCAAGTTCTCCAGCTGTTTTATTCAGGATACCAGTGTACCATCAAATTGGTTGGACCAAGAAAACACAAATGTACCACAAAAGCTGAAAAAGTCACCTGCTAGGATGCTGGGTCTCTGGCAAAGGATAAAAAATGAAGATCAGTAATCAGTAAAGTTGGGCTTGGTTTCTGTTTAGGGCAATTTATTTAAATTGTCAGAAAAGGCATTAAATAGAAAGAATAGATAACGCAATATGTGAGAGTATGAACCTATACTGTGCAGTCTGAGGCCGAAGATGTAATGAAGCTGTAACCTTTCCTTTTCCTAGTTGTAGCAGATGAAGGAGAGTAATCAATCCTAAGTGAGTTATGTTTATTATGTTTATTATTTCTTAATTTTCTGTGTTCAAAACTGTTTATCTACATGCAGTGGGTCTAAGATGATAAGCAAGGTTATCATACTGTGATTTAAAATTAAGTTTTTTGTTTTTCTTGTACTTTTTTCTGTCTTAAGATTATAGATCTGTGCTAGAATTTCTGCAGTTCCTGTCACTGTAATGTTCCAGTGCTGTGTAAATAAACAGCCCTGAACTTCATAGAAATGGCTGTTTGTTTTTCCATAGATTTAGGAACATCTACTTGAGGCATTTGAGTTCTATAATTAAATATTCCAATTTAAGCTGTAATGGAAAGAAATAGAAAAATGTAGTCATCTTCACTGGGCTTAAATAGTCTGTGTTGAGCCCTAGGATTTACCTCTACAGTTAGTGACAGGCATCATTCTCTAGTTCTCCTGCTGTCTTCATGCAATGGCCTTTGCTGAACACTTAATGTAGTGCAGTTTTTTTAAATGTAGATACAAGTCACATAGTACAGTTTCATTGCCTCTTTTTTCTTTTTCTCATGGGATACTGCTGCTCTCTGGTGGCATCTCTGAAACTGTCCTGAGGCCTATGTATAAAGGGTCCTTTTAGCAAAGCCCCTCCTGCTGTGAAAGCCCATATTAACCTGTGGCACAATCAGCTGCAGTACACTTGTCCTATGCCTGGTCTGAAAATTGTACACATTTGGATATTGTTTTAAATGGATAAAATAGTTCAATATCTCTTTAATTGTGAAGTTGGACATAATTTTAAGCCTGCAGTTCCTTCCATTTGGATTAATACTGCTTTAATTGTTGGGCTTCTGGGAAGCATTGTGAGCTTTTGTTTGGCTGTGACTGGCATTCCAAAGTAGTTCTCTTATCCATTGCTACTTCTGCATATAAGCAAAAAAAAAAAACTAAGCTGCAAATACAGTATTACCTTCTGCCCTAAGATGAACCATTACAAATATTCAATTTGGTGTCTATTAGCTATGCACTATTTAGACACATATACATTAAGTGAAGCTATATAATATGGAATAGGCAACATTTCTGTTGTGAAATGACAGCTTTCCCAGGGTGTAAAAAGCCTGTATCTTGACAAAAATAATTTGAAGGCACACATCTACTAGAATAAACCTTGACAGAGAATTAATTTGAACATTTGGGATTATAAACAACAATTCTCTTTCTCAATTATGACTTTTGTTCCCCTTCCCAAAATTTAATTAATGCTTAGTCTTTTTTTTTTTCCCAGGGAAGAAGGTAAAATGGTGTTAAAAAAATATTTTCAAATTACAGATTTTTAAATAACTTTCCATCAAACAAATCCCTTGCTATAATCCTATTGGTTACAGTATCTCTTAAGAACCTTGTTAAGGGCTATAGAGTCAAGAGCAGATTTGCATGATGCAGTCAGGCTTTCCGGCTTCGGTGCTTATGAGCATAACAGCTCACAGAGCAGCAGCAGCCTGTTCTCTGCAGGGCAAAGAGTGTTCTTACTACTCAAAGGAGACTTGCAGTTGGTATGTCAGTCATCTCATCAGGTATATCTTCACTGTCACAGTGGAGGCTTTAACAATGTTGTTTTAGGGCTAATTAAAACCCAATGACGAACGTTCAGAGAGGATAAACTATGTGCAGATACAAATGCAATATATACTGCATATGGAACTACATATAGAGTGTATAAGCAATAAGGCCACAGTGTGTAGCCAGTATTGCTTTAAGTTCTTCCTAGCGATATGTTGCATATAAAAGCTATAGACTGAGGGTTTGGAAACAAGTCAAAATCTGAACTGCTCCCCTAGGGAGTTAACTGCATGATGTATGTGCAGGATGGTTGTTAAATGTTGTTTGTGTATCAAATACATTCAGACTTTATTCTGCTGCAGCAGTGGTGGCCCAGGCCTGGAATGAGATCCAGTAATAGATGAAAACCCACTAGCAAGCAAGGCTGATCTAATACCGGCAAACGAAGTAGAGCACTTTGGAAAAAGTGTAAGGGTTTGTTTTGTTTGGTATTATCCATTTGTAGGTCAGGTTAGTCCACTCCAAAGCTTGGAAGTGTTTCTAGCACAGCAAAGAACAGAATTTCATATAGTAGGAATGTCAGGAATGTCTCCTACCAACCCAAGCAAAGTTTCCATCCCATGAGTATAGATACAACTGAGCCTTTGTTACACTCCTCTCCAGAGGAAAAGCAGCGGAGAGATGACAGCAGTGCCTGGGCACAAAGCCATAGCAACTCGAGAATGCTTCCATTTCTCTTGTCAGAAGTCCTGGCTGTGCTTTGTTTGTGTAATTCAGGTTTCCATAGAGTATTTAGACTGAAAATCATAGTCTTTGTTCCTGTGGGTGGTGATGGCTCAGGCCCATGGCATAATAGTTCTCACCAGTGAAGGAGACAGTGTTCCTGAGAGCCAGTTATGGGCTGTGGAATAGTCTCAGCAGGTTTGATGTTTGCTCACCTTCTCTTATGCTTTGTTGTGCATTCTGATATATATATTTATCTTTGCACACATAAAGTAATACTGCTATCAATAAAATGATCTCCTTAAGTATGAGACTGCTGGGTATGACTTTTCCCTAGGTGGAGATGAAAGGGGTTGTCAGCAGGTAAGAGGGAGAAAAGGCCCTCGTGACTAATAAATTCTTAGGAGTCCCTGTAATACCAGTGTGGCATATTTGTATGTACCTGTGTTGAAACCACATGGAAGGAGCTCACCTGCACCACTTTACAGTTTTGCCTTTCTTTCCCTGGGGATCTAAATCACCTCTGCATTCAGCACTATGGCACATGTTGATCACATTGCTTAATGTGATCAACAAAGCATTATTACAAAAATGCAATATAATACCAAGAATTAAGTGGTGAAGTGTTTGGCTTTTGTACAAGTTGCTCTGTAACAGTGAATGAGTAACTTTGGTATTACTGACCTCTTAATTGATGACCCTATTGGGAAAATCTAAGTTTCTGTTCTGTACTGAGCCTTTCTTCAATATAGACAGTCCTCTTATTACTTTTCTATAACAGTGTACTTCTCAAGAAGTACTGGAAACATTGTGGGATCTTAGCCACTACAAAAAAAAGTCAGTCTAAGATTTTTTTGTACTCTGGGATATGCGACTTTCCGGTATTCCTTGCTTTTTGTTTCGATTGTTGGCTTGGTTCACACTTGGAAACTTACTGATACTACTTAGAAAAGTTTGAAACATTACTGCCCAAGTGCAAAGTCTGTACCTGGCAGGTATCAGTGCATGCAAAGCTGACAGGTCAGGCAAAGCACACTTGGTTGTTCCCAGTAGTCTTCCACAGCACCATATTGCATTATATGGATGGAATTACTATGTTTGTATATAGAATGCAAGTTTAAAAGCCAAGAAGTTTATCGAATGGCCTGCTTACTAATATTTGATAAATGTGAATCATCATCTTGTGACAGGAATATATTGCTGGCAGGGAAGTAAAGCTAGTGATGGTTAATCCTTCTGGAAATCGAAATAGATGCATTTATTAGTTCAACTTCAAGTACGCTGATTTATGTGTGTCCTAATCCAGTAACTAAACCTTTTAGTTTAACTATGTTCTGGCTGCAAAATGTCAGTATTTTTATGGATTAACACTTCTCTATGAACTTTTTTTCCTACTGTAACATGAGACACTGCACAAGACACTTCCAACTATGATTTAATACACTTAGGATGGTTATGGGAAATTTTTGATAGTGATGATGAAACTTGTTCAAACCATGGGCAACATTGATATTTGGTTTGCTCTTTAGTTCTTTAGCATTCCTACTCTATTATAGAGAAACTGTGTGTTTTAAAACTCACTGGAGAGCTAATGGAAGTATAAGAAATCTGGGGAAATGAAACTGTCTGCCCCCATGAAATTTGGGATTATGAGAATGTTAAATATATTTTGATGTATCTTAATCCAGTACTTGGGCTAAACAAGGAAAATGTTATACAATAGTTACAGATGCAAAACCAGATGTGTAAAAAGAGAGAACTGGAAAGAACCAAAGAATACTGTGAAGTTGAAAGTCTGAATGGGTCTCTCTTTTTTTTTCTTCTTTTTTTGCCCTCTTTTTCTTTTTTTTAACTTACCTGAATTATAAAAAAAGTCAATTTTCCCTCTTCAGACTATTTAGGCTGCCTTCAACAGTCCTTTTGTGTCTACGCCCTGCATTGAGAGCTGTGGGCTGTTTGGGGTTTTGTTGGGTTTTGTTTTTTTTTGCTTTTTTTGTTTTCTTTTTTGAGTGTAGGTGTAAGGAGCTCAGAACACAACCTGGAAGAAATTGATGAAAGGGAAGAGATAAGTGTGCAACAGCGAGAGAACAGTGAAAGTACCAATATCTCTCCCAGGACAGGAGAGGTTACTGTAGCCTTTAGCTCTGCTGAGGTACCACTGGAAAATGAAAAAAATGATCCTGCTCCATCAACTCCTGTTCCTGGCAGTGTTTCCGTAGACAACTCGCAAAGCTTCAAGGAAGAAAAACAAGAAAATATGAGCACAGATGGCAAGTAAGTACGTTTTGTGACAAAGAAAGGAGCATTGGGGAGGCAATGGGGGAGGCAAATAAAACGCAGTGCTGTTTTATTGTGGAGCACTGAATAGAGAATTGTGAGAGAGATGAGCTTTAATATGCTTAGCTTTCATTGCAGCACTCTTCTGTGCACAGTAATTCATGAAGCTTTTCAACAAAAATGACAATGAAGTGTTCTGTAGGCTATTCTGTTTAAGCCTCCCTTTCCTTACTACTCAAACAGCTGGACCCCAGTAAAGCTGAACCCAGCTCTAAAATACTCTATTCATTAAGCAGTATGCTGCAAAAAAAATTGGGATTTAATAGTTAAATAAAAATACACAAATTCTTTCTTACAGATGGGGAAAAACGGGTAGATAGGCCATTTCAGGTTTTTTGGGCATGGTTATCTGTTGCTTGCACTTTTTTGGCTTTAATTTTTATTTTTTCCTTTCCTTATATGTTGTCTTGACCTGTCTCAATCCATTTGCTCTCAGGAAAACGAGTTAATTCTGCTTTTTTAAAGAATAAACACATTAGTTTCTTTAACCGCTCTTTTTCCCTTCTGTTGATGCTGTACCTTTGCCCTTCAGCATGTTTGTTAAAGTACCTGACTCAGCAGGTTCCCAACATGAGTTAGTGCCTGCTTGAAATAAATGTTGATTGTCCAGAGAAGTCCCATTGTGTTAATGTAATTCACTGTTTCTCTGTTCCCTGGGGCAACTAAACTGGCTACTGTTCCCAAATTAAATTGAAAGAACTATTTCAATTATTGTACTGAAGCCAAAATGTGACTGCCCTAGTAGTGAAGAACTTTCAAGGTAGTAAGGAGAGCTTTGACTTGTATCTGTAGGGACTTTTTTGTGAGTCCAAGGCCAAATGTGACTTTGCAAAAATCTTTGCTCTGTCCTGACAAATATTGTCCCAGTTACTTAGGTGTGTCTCCTCTATGGGGATCTAATAAGTTGTCTTCAACTTGTCAGACCTTTGTTATTGGGCCAGTTTGGGTAGTTGTCCAGGGGATGTTTCTTCCCCACCCCATCGATGAATTTGCAGTAGCCTTTCATGCCTTATAATCCTGGTGAGTATCATTAAGCCTGTACTGTGCTCTGGCTTTAGAGTTTGGCAGTTGTTTCCTGAAATATCAGAGGGTCTCCAAAATGAGAACTAGGGTTTCTCTGACATTATATTTCTGGAAAACTTTTGATAATTCAGATCTTTTATATAAGATCTAGTTACTTTGAGAAGTACTTTGATCAAAGCAGGGAAAGATGTGTAATATTCCAGTCAAAACCACTAATTTCTGTAATGATACTCTGTGGTGTTTTGTGGCTTTTGGGTTTGGTGGTTTTTGATTATTTTTTTTTCTATTAAAAGACCAATTCAGCCTGTTGTTAATAGTTGTAGCTCAGTCCCTCAGCTGTGTTAAAAGGAATGAAGATAAGCAAGAGTACAGAGTGCTGGGCTGAGCTTTGACTTTCTTCCAACAATAATTTTGAGAGCATACACTCCTGTTCAGTGGTTTATTGGACATTTACAGTATATTTGGTACTATAAAGCAGCATGTGCATGGATGGTTATTGAGAAATTTATCATTTTAAATGATTCAAAGCAGATGTGTCAGCTCAAGGCACTGGTTTCTGACAACTAATGCATTTGATGTGGCAAATGAATTGGAATCTTCATAATGCCAGTACTTCTAACTACAGAAAGTGCAAAGATGGAAGTTGGAAGTTCTAATAACTTTTTGTAGAGAAATTTTAAGTATTTTTGCCTTTTTCACTTACCTTTTTAAGCCAAGGACTTAATATCTTCACCACCACCACCTCCCCTTATTCAACATTTGTGCAGTTCCCTTGTCCCCCATGATCTGAGGGGAACAGATACTTTATGCATTTGCAAAATATTTAGTATGCAAGTAATATGTTTGGTGGATGTTCTCCAAGTATTTCTAGAAAGGGACTATTTTGAAAAGTCTGTACTGCACAGTTCATGTGTTCATACACAGTCAGCATCTCATGCAGCTTCCTGTGTATTGTGGTGTGGACAAAATCAAGGGCATGTTTTAGATGTGGGGCATGTCAGAGCACTTCACACTAGTGTTGTTATATGAGTGATAAACCATTGTGGCTTCACTGAAAAGGAGTTGTTACTGGAAAGGGGCTTGTTCAAACTGCACGTGTAAGCAAAAGGAGGGGGAGAAGAGAAAGGAAAACTGATCATCTGCTTACACAAGCAAGTGGAGCTGCTTGTCATTTTGGTAGAATATCATGGCAGCATTTCCTCTTGTTTTATAAAAAATAAAATAATCTATTCTGTCGAGTATTCCAGTGTTTGGCAGAGCGATTCTATTTTGTCCATCTGTGTTTGGAGAATATTGCCAGTTCTCTTGCATCGTTTCTGGTGTTTACTGAAATGAATGATACCAGCATATTTAATGTACTGTTGTGCTTTGCAGAGGACTACAGACTAAGATAAGCAGTGAGGATGCTGGATTTGAAAAAGACAGGAAGCTTAAAATTTTAGATCAAAATACAACCAATGGTGAGTAGTTCCCACTCGTTTTTAATACTTCAAAGCAAGGTTGAAGAGAACTTTTCTATTCCTTTGAAGAAATGACAATACAGTCAACTCTTGAATTGTTATCATCAGATTATTTTCTTTACACTTTCTATAGCTTTGGTGTATTCTCTTTGAGACGAGGTGGCAAGAATTGGATGCAGGGTTTTTATTTGGGAGCGGTTATTTTTGGTATATTTTTGTTATAGCAGTAGTCAAAGCTGCATCATGCTGTTGTAGGGCGGGATGGGTTGGACAGTGCCAAGGAGAGGGAAGGCTGGACACAAAGGTTATCCTGCCATGTGGGGTGCCATGGGTACCATACCCCAGCAGAGAAGAAGAGACCATCATTTGGTCTTTGCTTATGAAATTAGTGTGAGTTTTCTGCATGAAAATGCAAATATTTTTAAGCACAAATAGAAGAAAGTGACACGCTGATCTGAAATGAAATGACGACATCCTGTGCATCTAATGGACCGTAAATTTTTCTGTGGATTTAGTGACCTGACTGATTTATTTTACCCTTTTGTGACACTAATTTTCAGATTTATATATCAGGCCTTCCATAGTCTTTTATACTCAGTACACTTCTGTTTATAAATCATAACAACACTGCATGAGTCCTGTTTATATGTGATATAAATTTTACCCTCCATTTTATAACATACTTGAAATGAGGACTTTTTTCCCCCGCAAAATAACCACTTCAAATGATTATTCCCGAAGACTTTAATTTTTCCCAATATTGTGTTTAAAACAATTTGACTCAAATATTCACATGTTTTGGAGACGATCACGTGTTTAGTCCAGGGGTAGAAAATTGAATTATCAGACCAACTAAAGAGTAGGAAAAATAGTTTTGGAAAATTGCTCTTGTCCATATGTTTTTCAGTTGTTTCCATGTACAAATACATAAGGTGTAGTTGACAAATAAGATTTGTGACATTAAAACTAAAGAACAGAAGCCACAAATGTGTGGAACTAAATAAAAGCTGTATCTAACTTGATATTGAATAGTCCTTGAGCTCTTGAGTCACCAATGCCTATATAATCAACCGAAATTCATTAGCACTTTTTAAATGATTCTAGAATAGTTTTTTCTATTAAGTCAATGCATGGCACCAGTAGCCTATTTATTAAGGAAGAATACCTGAGTTAGAATACTACTATTTGGCAATATTATTCAAATATATTTATATCTTTAAATAGCTTTTAAAAGCAAGTGTTAAGGAAATTTTTAATGTCAGTGAAAAGCCAGTCGTAGTTAAATACATTAGATGCAGAGCTTCTTGATGTAAGGAGAAAGATTGAATCTTTTTGGCATTTGTATTAATTTTGGAATCTTTCTTTAACTTAAAGATCACAGTGATACAAAACTCCTTCCAACAACAGAAGAAGGGAAAGAACTTCAGACAGCTGAAATTAAACCAGTAGATTTTACAGAAAATAACAAGCTCGAAGTTAACAGACTATCAAACTTCCAGGCATGTAAAAATGACATCTCTGTAAGTCATAGGAATTATCCTCAACTGATGTCAGAAAAGCAAGATGACAAAACAAATCAAAGCAGCTTGGATACAGTAAAAACTCAGGATGTTGCAATCCAGACAGGTCCTTTGGATAGCAATTTGGGAAGGTCTACTCAGAAAGAAATTATTGTTCCTCAGGGTGTTGAATCATCCACATTCAGAGAATTGGTCCCTCAACATAACACAGATACAAACAACCCCCTTCTTCAAGTGATGCATGGAACGCAGCAAGGGGATGAAGATACGTCAATAGAACAAAATCTTGAGACACAAGAAGTTACCTATGGAAATGTAATTCCCATAAAAGACCAGAGTCACGTCTGTATAAATGGCAGTAATTTTGTTTCACCAGAAACAACTGCAAAAACTCCAGATGACTTTTCTGTAAAAGGTCACCCTTTTTATAGACAGGACACCAGACCTAAACCTAAGCCTGCTAATGAAATTACAAGGGATTACATACCAAAAATTGGCATGACTACTTATAAAATAGTGCCTCCAAAATTCTTAGAAATAATGAAGAACTGGGAACCAGAAGTTCCATCAGATCATAAGGATCAAGAGGTATCTACTTTGGAAGATTCTCTGAAGCATGAAGACCCCAAAGAATTCATAGTGCAAGCTGAAATTCCTCATCTGTCAAAAAGTGTGGGTCATTTACAGGTTGGTTCACAAAATGAAGCTGCAGCAGCGAATGATCTGCTGCAGGGAGTGAACAGCATTTCTGAACATACTGTGACCTCTGGAGCTGAGATTACTACTGAGAGCAACCAGATGGAAAAGGAGTCTTTCAAGCAGCGTGTCCCACTGATGCTAAGCCTGGATAATACAAATGCTTCTTCTGAGACTCAGGACAAGTCAAATGCATTAAGTCCTACAACAAAGCCTAGTTCTTTTTATCTGCAGATGCAACGAAGAGCTTCAGGTCATTATGTGACATCTGCAGTTGCCAGAAGTACCATTTGTACTCCTAATTCAATTCAGAATGAAGCTAAGAATACAGAGATGGGGAAAAAAATCTCATCACCTGATCTGACTTCTTTGGCTTTACATAAAACAAGTATTTCCTCTCCTCCAGCAGATGAAGAAAAAGTTGATGATGGAAAAAACATTGAATCCTCCACTTCTCCTGTTAAAAGCAATAAACCTTTAATTTATCCCCCCTGTCCTCCAGCACCACTGAACCTAAAAACTCTAAGAACTTTTGCAGTTCCAAAGCCATACTCCAGTTCAAGACCATCTCCTTTTGCTCTTGCTGTCTCCTCTGCAGTCAAAAGGTCGCAGTCATTCAATAAGACGCGTACAATCACTAGCCAGGCACCTAGAGAGGAATTTCCTGTTGAACTCTCCTCTGCCACTTTGGCAGCTGAATTCTCCTCAGCTACCTCCATGCCTCAAGTGAAAAGCCCTTCCTTACAGACCTTACCAGCGGGGCCACAAAATAGTCTAATGGACAAGGTAAACTTTATTTCTAATACTGGTTGACTGTTGATCCACTGCCATCTAGTGCAACCAGTCTAAAGGCTTGTCTGTGAACCACTCCCCTGGTCAGAAAGCGCTGTATTCGTACAGTGAAAACACCCAGTGGTGTCCAGCAGTAGAACAGCATTATAATGAAGTCCATGAATACAGAGAATGTTAAAAATGAGACCAATATAATTCAGATGATTTGAAATATTTATTTCTTGCCATAATTAGCATCCCCCGCTTTAAAGAACTGTAAATTAAATAGTCATTTATCCTGTGTATACCTATTTTTATGCTTGGAGTGCTTATGATTTGTTCCTTATGGTTTTGTGTGTTAATTTCTTAAATTTAATTCTGAGAGGTGTGATTAATTTGGCTTCAAGTGATCATGCTACAAACACACTTGAATGGAGGCATAAAATTTTGCTGGCATAATTATTTGAGGGAGAAACTATTCCAGTGGGAATGTGGCTGGTCTCTGAAATCTTGAATCAACCAAACTAGAACGGCAGCAGTTTGCTATGCAACCTTGTGCCAGGTTGACTCAGTTTTCCATTTATAACTAATTCAGATTAAAATTTTTTGGTTTCTTTTTCCTCCCACTTCGTCCCTTTATAGAAAGACAGCAATGTGAATAGTGAGCAGAAGAGTCAGGCACAGTCAGGTGCTTCCACTGACCACCCACCCCCTGTCACTAAGAGACAAACCGCGATGACGTTCCCGCGCTCTGACCCAGAACAGATCCACCAGAGCTTGCTGGCTGCAATCCGTTCTGGAGAAGCTGCTGCCAAATTGAAAAGGGTGAGTTTTCATCACTGCATCCATAACAATGAATTCATGGTACTTCCTCTAAAATTGCCATACTAATGCCTGACACTAAAAGCAGTTAGCTTTGGTACAAAGTGCTACCAGGAGGTCTCTTAACAATGGGAAAGGAGGTGAGGAAGAGGGGTCAATTTTGCAGAATAAACTGGTGAATGCACACGCAGAGCTTCAAATGTCTGTATTTTCAAACAGTACAAATGTAATCAAATCTTTCTGAAATGAAACAATTCTCTAGGTTATCAATTAGGCATATCTTTTATAAAATCTGACTTATGTTTGAGAGTGTATGGCTTTAGAAAATTGCTAAGCAACTTCACTCTAGACATGAAGTGGCTGCAATCTTTTGCAGGCAGATAACACACAGCTCTGAAGACTATTTTCCTATTTATTAGACTTTTATCAGATAATTCTTAAATGTTCTTCAAGCCTCCTGCTGCTGTTTGGCATCATTACTAAGACATTTCTCAATGTTTTGTCAACAGTCCTTGTAGGACCATCTTCCCCCATGCCCCCTCTGGTTAAAACTGGGGCTTAATTTTTCTTTTCTCTTTCCTAAAATTAACCTATAAATGTCTCATTGGATAAAACATTGCACACTTTAAAAATCTGTACTGTTTTAAATTTGCAACCAGACAATCATAGTCTCAAACAAACTTTTCTTGATCTTACATTAGTATTTTGCATTCTGTATTAAGAAATAATTTCCCATTGCAGAAGGTTAAAGAAATTCAGTAGTTTTTTTCTCTTCCCTTTTCCGCTTGAAACTTGAAAGAAACAAATGATGTGTCGTGAGTAGATACAAGGGATTTTTTTGTTTGTTTGTTTTATGGAAGTCTTTGATACCCTCAGGTCAAATTCTTTCAGTGGATGGTCAGATGTTGGAACATTTCATACATAAGGTTTTGTTTCAGTGTAGTGGTGCAACAGCCTCTCTGAGGCTTATAGGCCCTCCATGATTTCTACACTGAACAGGAAGATTGAGTTTCCTGTAAAAGTTACAAGCATACTCAAGTAGTTTTTGATCTCTAGTCAGTAAAAATGGTACATAATATGAGTAGTATTACTTCTAACTACATGTCACTAACTACAGCCACTTTAAAAACAGTATAAGATTTAAGAAAATGCTGTATTGTTCGGAATCAGTTAGAGGTCAAATCTATCTGTTCTACCAGAAATACTGTTCGGATTTTGTTTGCATGTATTTTCATCAAAGCCTTTTTTTCCTCCAATGCATAATTACATTCTGAATAATACAGAACTTTATTCATTTTTCATAGTGTGTCACCTTTGCTTTATGATTCTATGGGAAATATGCATAGGCATGGCTGTTGGCCCAGTTTCTTGTAACTGTTTTAAAAAATAAAGTCCATAATGTACTTTTCAAAGTTCAAGAAAACTATTTCTACTAGAAAGAAAACAAGGAAAAGCTTCATTACATAGATATTCATTCTTTTTTAATACAAATGTCCTTCTTGTAAATTTGACCCATATAGTCTTTATCAGTGTAGGTACAAGAATGGCATGTGGAAAGGGAGAGAAATGATCATTGAAGTCAGTTTTCCCTTCCCTTTCTCTTCTGTGGGTGGGATATGTCCTTTGTCAGTGCACTATGTGTTGAGGCTGGAGTGAGGAGAGGGCTGTACTTTTTAAGGAGAAATTATAATAATGAAGAGGCCATAACCATAAAGAAGAGCAGTCTGCAGCACAGAAACCTGAAACAGGCCTTAAAAAAAACCCTGGAACACAAACAAAATGTAATGAAGAACTCACTGAAGTTTTGCCAAACATAAAATTGTACATGCTGTTCTTCTCACTCTCACCCAGAGCACATATGCTGTGGTACAGGTATGTCTGACAGCAGAAAGAAGTTTCTTGGCCTATGGCAAATTTAACAAAAACATGGTCTCATTTTATGTTTAACATGGAGAACTGGCAGTAGGAGGATAGAGGAATGAAACATTTTGTATCAATAACTTCTTTTCACCCAGAAGTGATTTTTAGTATTGAAAGGACTTTTAAAATGCATTCACTTCGTATCTTCCAGTATTGTACTGCAGTCAGGAAAAGGAGTGATAATCTGATCGATTTGAATTGTGAGAGAGGTCTGTCAGGTACTTGCTTCTCTCTGTGTGAGAATCATTAAAAATAAAATCCTGGTACCACTAGCCAAATTCCTTAATTTTTTTTTCACCCTCTGTTTTACTTAATATGTTGTGAGTATGCAGTGCTGAGATCTGTGGCCTTTTGTGTTGTTGGTCTTTCCTGTTCAATAGGGCCCTCACTAATTACTAACCTAAAATGGGTCAAGTGAGGTTTCTTTTTAACCATTTTTTCTCTTGAGAATGTTTTCATTGTGTTTAGTAAACTGTGCTTTGGTATGTGGTTCTTATGGCTGTGGAGCCTCCACAACTCCCATTAACTCCAGTTGGAATCGTTGGTTTATGCAGCTCCACTGAAACTTAGGCCTTTGCTGCCTATCATAAAAGTTATGGTTTGCTCCTGATAAAAGAAACATTACCATGGTATAAAGGAGTGTTAGAAAGAAATCAGCTCTATTCAATAGTTAATAAAAAGTGTTTAGTTTAGTGATGTTTTTCAAGTATTTCTTTGCAACTGGGTCTGGAGAAGGACTAAAAATTCATGTTTTGAATAGTTATACATGGAATTTTTAGATAGGATAAAATATGTTTTTAATAAAATATGTTTTTAAGTAATGTCTTATATTTCCACTTCTGTAGCATATACACTCTGTACGGAAATCATATAGGAGGTCATTGACTGCAATGAGAAAAATGCTAACTGAAGTAACAGTATTTCTGTTTCCTTGAAGTAATACTGTGTAACATACTGTAGAGAGAAAAATATGGAAAGTTAGGCTAATATTTCTTTAATATTTTTTCTCTTTTTTTTTTTTCTCTCCCCTGCCTCCAGGTTGGTCCTCCATCAAACACCATAGCTGTTAATGGAAGAGCCAGACTTAATCCTTTGTATTCCACAGAAGCAAAAGCTAGTCAGTAGATATTATACAATATATTCTGCACTTTACTACTGCTTCATAGGCCAACTTTACACTAACTGTAAATGCAAGTATATGTTAATATATTTTTGTCAGCAGTTATAAGGATTTCAAGCTGTGTCTTTTGATGCCTTGGAAAGATTATTAGCATATGTAAATTATGGTAATATTTTGCCTTTTCCTCTTTATAAAGCTGACTATGCTGCTAAAAAGGTTTAAGAAAAGGTGCAGGTGAGCTTTGCTTATGATAGAAAGAGAATCAAAGATTCTTGATTTTAGCCTCAAGACTGAACAATATGTAGCACTATGCTGAAATTACAGATTGGAAGCAACCTAAGAATTCTAGATCACATCATTAATTTTCAATTGTGTATTACTTTAACAGATTGTAAGAACTTAAATCTACCACATGCTGCCTCCATATTCCTTTATTAAATTAAAATTGTAATTACTAGAATATCTTAATTAAATGCAATACTTTGTATCTGTCTAAAAAATAGATGGTTTTGTTCCTTTAGCAGAGAGTAACTGGGATACATATTTTGATTACTTTTTTTTTAACTCTCCTGTAATTTTTTCCTGGTAGCACACACACAAAAAAATCAGGATATAAATTATTGAAAATTTTTGTACTACTTAAAAACTTTTATTAACAGTAGCACTACATGACATTTCTCTTTGGGTATCTGTATATAGTATTTACCTAGCACTCAGATAAGCAATACTTTTTGTGAATTACATATATATTGAAGTAGTCATCAGCATATACTCACGTACTGATAAAATGCAAATTCCAGTTTTGATACTTAATGAAATAGAAGAAATTTATTTTTTTTTCACTTGAAGTATAACTAAAGAATGAACTGCTTTGGACTTATTCATGTGAAATATTTTAATCTTAAAACAGCACAATAACGCACTTACAAATCATGCTTGTGTCAGAGACTGTCTATTTATAGATGAAGCATTAAATATCAAGATGGGAATATATATTAAAAGAGAATGCTTTGTGTTATATTTTACCTATTTTGAATTTCTTGTCAAGATTATACATTTTGGGGAGGGAGTGGAAATATGATAACACCCATGATAAAATAGCTAGATTATGGATGCATGCAGGAAGTGCTGGGGTATTTGCCATTTTAAAATATTTTCTTGCTGGACTTGATTCAAATAAAAGTAATTGTATTTCGTTTCTGTTCTTTAACAATATATATATTTTGTACTTTAGAAACATTCTGTAACTCAATTTCAGAAACTGATCTATATGTGCATTTCAAAGGTTTATTAATTGTTTGCTGCCAGGTTTTTGTGCAATAATCTCAAAGAGGTCTAATTACTTTCCACCTACAGAGTCAATTATTGATTACAAGTAACAGTGTTAATGCTCAAACTCTTTAAGGAACATTTTAGTAAATAAAAATTCATAAAGAGGGTTGATGGACATTTGTTCACTGCTGTTCTCTCCTGTTTACTCTCCTGTATCTTAGTCCCCTGTCAATGTGTGTTACCACTTCTGTCTCTTCCTTGTTTTGCCTCCAGTCAAGGGCTTAATCCAAGGGTAGGGGGAGCCCACATGGTAGTTCAAAAGATCTGTTTCAGGATCTGACTGTGAAAGAACGCTTCAACTTCACTTGAAAACAGTGAGATAGAAGAGGTGTGGGGTTTTTTCTAGTTTCCAACTGAGGCTTACACTCTAGATTTCACTGCATCTTGAGGGACAGACTTGAAAGTTGTAACTCACTCCCAGGGTTCCAGTGTCTGTGTTTGTTGCAGTATTTGAAGTCTGTGTTTTAAGCGTTCCTACACAACATGCTGATCTGTAACTGCCAGAGAGAGGTTGCGCTGCAAAGAGTCTCCTTACTTGTACTTTGGGTGCAAGGATCTTACAGGTTTTTTCTCTAACCTTGGTATTCGCTGCCAAGGTGACCAAAGTTATTTCATAAAGTTAATTTAATCTCCATCTGTGGTAGTACAAGTCGGTATGATGTTTCACTTTTTCAACCAAATCAGTAGAGTCCAATTATTCTTGTTTTGGGTAAAGTTCAAATAACCATGCTTTGTTGCTTTCTTTGGTTTTGAATGCAAAACTGTACTGTATGTTTCTTAGTCCCATATGTTAAAAATAAACTACCTTTTCATGTGAACTCCTGAAGGTAAATATCATCTTGTGTATCAGAGATTAAACTAAAACCACGGCACTTGAATTTTAAGGTTTCTTGTTTGTGTCATTGAACTTGCTTGATAACTGAAATGTCTACACATGCTATAGTACTGTGAAGCTCTTTAATGAGACTTTCTGTTAGTAGCTGGCAATACTGTTTAGCAAAAATTTCTCTTTCCCTCTTCTTCCAACATGTGTATGTAAGACATTTTTAAATCTTGCTGTTGTATTTTTAGACACTCATTTTTTCTTATACTCTTTTATTAAATTCTACTAGAGAAACTCTTGTTGGTGAACTTGACATGTTTGTTCAAGTAAGTGTTTCTAGTAACTGCAAGCCCAGGTTAGACAACAGTAAATTTTTATTATGGATGCCTTACATGCACAGTAAACAGACTTGGTTTTGGGCCCAAGAATACTTACAGTTTGCACATGTATCATGGCTGTCTTCCAACAGGAGGCAATTACTTATGCCATACTTCTGATAATCCCCTTCCTTTTGCATGGCAGTCAAAATGTTTAGGAAGGAAAGTCAGGATATTGAAGTAAGTGATAGTCAGTGTAATTGTCTGAACAAAACAGCTGACCCCAGTGAAGGTGCACTGTGACTTACTGTTACGAGTTCTTTGAAGAAGCAGCAGATATCCATGTAGTACAGTGCCATCTTCATCTAGTTCACATTCCAGGGCTTTGTAAGTAAAGGAGGGCTAGAAAAGCAAAGAGATCTTGTTAGTTGTTATTATAGAAGATTTCTTTTTTTTATTTATTCTACAGAAGAATAAAATTTAGACTACAGATGTACCCTGCAGAAGGGAGAGTTTTGCTGGGGCAGCATCACCAGATAACTTTTGGAAATATTCTTGTGACTAGAGGTTGTAAGATCAAGGCAAGAACTCTCATACTTGCAGCTGAAAGATGTTAAACAACTTGTTGTCTCCATTTTTGGGACATATATTCAGTAATCATTGCCCTTGTTTTTCTAGCTGCTTGTAATTTTAGCATTATTGTAGCAAGCAATATGAAGATCTCTAAGGAAGACATGAATATTATGTGGATATGGACCAAGAGGCATTGTATCACACATACTAGGTAAAGGATGAAAATATAACATAAAAGCAGCTAAGAGAGACCTCGACAAATCAGAGTACTGGGCAGTCACCACCCATATGAAGTTCAACAAGGGAAAGTGCTGGATTCTGCACCTGGGATGGTGCGACCCTGGATGAATGTACAGACTGGGGAATGAGATGCTGGAAAGCTGTGCTGCAGAAAGGGACCTGGAAGTACTGCTTGATGGCAAGTTGACTACGAGTCAGCAGTGCCCTGGCAGCCAGGAGGGCCAACCATATCCTGGGGGGCATCGCCAGCCAGGTGAGGAAGGGGATTGTCCTGCTCTGCTGTGCACTGGGGCAGCCTCATCTTGAATATTGTGGCAGTTTTGGGTAACACAATATAAGAAAGATATTAAGCTATTAGAAAGTGTCCAAAGGAGGCCAGTGAAGATGAAAGGCCTTGAGTAGAAGCCGTATGAGGAGCAGCTGAGGTCACTTGGTCTGTTCAGCCTGGAGAAGAGGAGATTGAGAGGAGACCTCATTGCAGTTACAACTTCCTCGTGAGGGAAAGAGGAGGGACAGGCACTGATCTCTGCTCTGTGGGGACCAGTGACAGGACCCAAGGGAATAGCCAGAAGTTGTGTCAGGGGAGGTTTAGACTGGATATTAGAAAAAGGTTCTTCCAGAGGGTGGTTGGGCACTGGAAGAGGCTCCCCAGGGAAGTGGTCACAGCACCAAGCCTGACAGAGTTCAAGAAGTGTTTGGACAATACTCTCAGGCACATGGTGTGACTCCTGGGGATGATCCTGTGTAGGGCCAGGAGTTGGACTCAATAATCCTTGTGGGTCCCTTCCAACTCTGCATATTCTGTGATTCTGTGAATACTTTAAAGTTTGTTACAGGCACCTGTTACCAGCTAAAGCAAACATTTTTCAGTTGGAGCTGCTTAGAATCCTGTTTTAATATGCAGTTGCTGAGAAGACTTCTATTACATAGAAACAAAGGAAAGATGTTGTTGAGCAGCAGGGTGTACTTCCTTGAATTCTTGGCCAGGCTGTGTCTATCAGGTGTTGGATAACTACAACTAGACAGGAGACTAACTGTAAATGACTAAGTAGATGGGTTGGTAGCCAAACAAATAGAGCTCTTTGCAGAAGGGAACATGTGTCTTAATTTGTCTGTCTGTGGTAACAGAATGTGAGGCTGAAGTCAAAATAGTGTGTTTGGACCGGAGCTGCTGTAATCACAGGCATGACAACTGTTTGTGGGTGCTGTGAATGGTCTGAGGTTCAGAAGCTGTGACATTCTGTTAGTGCTTGGCCGCTGACAGGGTAGATGAAACATCACTCGTTGTAGACAGATTGCTTATGAAGTCTATTTTGATGATAAAGCAAAGCTGTAGCAGTATCACTGGAAATGTTTTACACCTTGTAATTGAAAAGGATGCTTTCTATGTGAATTATTTTATATAATCCAGTTGAAAATAAGATGGATTTTTTTTTCTTTAAAAATTCTCTTTAGGTAGCATTGTGAGAGGGAAGATGTTCTTGTTAAAATGACATGAAATTTGCAAGTAACGGGAAACTACACTTGTTAAAAACTTAAATACTTAATTTTGGTTTGTCTTCCTTGAAAGAGCTATGTGGCATGGGAACTAACACAGGAACTCTGTCAAGAGTCTATTGCGATATATTTTAGGTAAAGCTGCATTATTTTTTGTCAGCTATTCCTACTTGTTAACACAAGCACTTTAGATTTTTTTTAAGTTTATGGGTTTATGTCTTCAAGGAGCATATTCGGAAGAGATGTATAGTTTTCTCTTTTTAACTGAATTAAGCTTCACAACTACTAGTGTTTAAGTGAAAGAGATGAGCACTTCCTTCTCCCGTCCCTCCATGACCCTGGAAAGACCACCAAAACTGTTAATGGACTAAGTCATTCCTAAATTATTCAAGACACTTAAGGGGAAAAAAATAATGGGAGGGGGAAGGAGAAAGGATAAGGTAGAGAAAAAGATGTTTTGCTTTTTTTGATCTGGAGAATCAGTATGTCTCTGAGGACAGCCAGAAACATATTTCTGCTCCTCCCCTGTTTACTATACAAAGGAGTAATCTACAGGCAAATTATCAGTTGAGGAATTATTTCACTTGTTTCCCACTGGATGATGTTAAATGAATTTGGTATTCTTCATCAGTGTCTAACAATAGGAAGTGCTGCTTCTCCCTTCACCTCATGTTTTATGTTTTCTGTTTTACCTTAAGGGTTCTACAAACATACCCTTTTGAAGCATGTGGGACAAGCCAGAAACTAAAAGCTTAACTCTGGAAGCCTGATGACTCCTGATAGCCATTCATGTAATTGGCACAAAGATGAAAATGCAATCCTGCACAGAACAGGATGTTCTGCATTTGCTCTTACAGTGGTGGAAGAAAATCTCTTAGCATTGGGAAAAGGAGAAACAACTGTATCTGAAAAGGACACTAAAACTGTTAGGAAATTTCAGCTACTTGTATTGGTAATGTTATTTCAGAGTGATTGTGCATATATGAACCTGGAAATAACAAGGGCTGTATCATTCCCAACAGAAACAGATACAACTCTAGTGCCAAAAAGAATGCCAAAGAGTTGAATTTGGATGTAAGTTGCAAATTCCTCTGTGAATGTTTTAAGCTTTGAGAACAGTCTTTTGCCCATAACATAGCAGTGTCATTATACACAAATGCCAGTGGTGTTTACTAGTTACCAGTTTGTGATTGTACAATGAGTGTATTTTTAGTAGCTGTTTTGATAATAGCAGCTGTTACAATTGTCTTCTGTTTCAACAAATTATCTGCTTGGTTATTTCTAAAGCATTGCTTTCCATGAGTATCTGGGCATTCCCAAACAATGCTTAAAACAGGAGTTTGGGCACAGGAGTTTAGGCATAGGGTGGGAAGCTAATTCTTAGGTTTGTCTTTAGTAATTTGAATACTCCTCAGAACTACTGGTACAATACCCTTGATGTCCACTCTTTACTGAGAGAGAGTTGGGTTGCTATTAATACACATAACAAAACAATGACACCTTATGTATCATATAAGAGAAGACTAGAATGTATTCTTCAGAAATTCCTGGTTTTTTACACTGATGGAGTTTTCTTCAGCCTCTTCATCTATTTTACTAGTTGTTCTAAGTACTCAGCAGGACAGACCTTGCTTTGCCTGTGATATATGATATCATCATAGCCAGAGCAACAGAAACATGCTAAAAAACAGTATACACAAGAAAATCTTCACAAGTGACAGAATAGTTAACAGGAATATTGAAGACTGGACTTGGGTATGTGATAGTGAACATCCAGAGCAGTAAAGGCATTGAAGTGTACAGTCAGCTCAGGGCAGAGGGAGAGTTAAATCCATAGAACCTGCAGCTGCAACAGCTGTTAAAATATAAATCTGGCCAACAGGGGCTATTTGCAAGTACTAGTGTACTTAGTGTGCTAGTGCTGGTGTACATTAACCACTAGAGTACTTACTAATGGTTAATATATTTCTAGTTAAGAAAAAAAAACTATGGCTGGACTCAGAATTTCATAATTTCTTCTCAGCTATATATGTCTGCCTGTTAGTTTAATCTCTCTTTTTCCTTTTTTTTCCTGTGTGATCCTGAGCAAGAAGTAAGACACGAAAGCTACAATCACACTTAATCTGAAGTGGTAAAGGAAGGAAAAATGAATTTATTTCACAGTTGCTTAAGGCTTTATATAGCTCTGAATTATCAAAAATACAGTAAAAATAATATTTTAAATAATTAAGCTGATTGCAGTTTTCTAAATTAAATACTTGAACTAAATAGGGAGATGGAATGCAGGAAGAGCTGCAATTGGTCACCTTTGTTAAACAGCATGATTGGTCCCATCAGCAGACACTATTTAATTTCTTCAATTGCTAAAAGCTAATTAAGCACTTGTGCTTTTCAAACTGAAGTGTATTTGGCCACCTGCAGCTACAAA